CTTATCTTTCTAGGTTTACAAATTGAGAATTTAAATCTGATAAAACTCTTTTATTGAGATTACATTCAACTTCTATTCTAATGGGACTCTTGGATCTTGAATTCGAACTRGGYTTCTTTAACAATTCGGGCTTGCTTCAAGACTCTTCTGCGAAATGGGCTTCAGCTTGTGAAATGGGCCTTGCTGCGAATTGCTTAACCTGGTGGCATTATCCTACCGAGGGGGGCAGGGCTGAGTCCCACGAAAACCAACAGGATTTCCTCCACCACCAAGGACTGGGCTCGGACTCTCCCCAGGTTAAGCAGTCGCGCGAGATCGTCACTTTCCTCACTCGTAAGCAAGGGGACACTTTTCTCTGTAGACAAGCTGGCCTCTCCCCACCCCGACATGAAGGACTAGTCCTCAGGACAAAACAAAAAGAAATATTTACTCTTCTAGTTGTGCACGGAAGAGAGGTTATCTACGGGCTTGGACTTGTGGGGTTGGAAGTAGAAGACACTAGCTTCGGAAGAGTGCTTCCTCAGCACAAAGATCACTCGGAAGAGCTTCAGCGTCAGCTCCACCCCCAGGAGCCGAGATGCCACCAGCATCGCCACAATGGTTTTTATCACATTGGGCGCCAGTTGGCTAAGGGTAATCCTATACACCCTTAGTAGGTCAAAGATCAATGGATGAAGGGGGAACCAAAGACCGAATTGGAGGAAGTGCTAATAAACGCAGATCTACCCCTCCTTGGGAGTCCATGGCCGATCGCCCGCCTCGGGCGCCCTCACCCCATAGGACGAAGGGATGAAGTATTGCCTCGTCAGGGCCTTGACTTGATCCCACTCTAGAGAATCTTCGAACTCTAGGCGAGAAGGATCAACCTCGGCCACTACCTCGGCAACACTCTCTACCCTCGTCGCGGGGACGAGGTCCGGGTCTTGCTCCCCCTCGGCCTCCCTTGGCGTCGCAGATGTGGAGCTCTGACAGGGAAGGTCAGTGCCTCGGCAGATTCCTTGGCTTAAACAACTTTTGGCTTCATAGTTCCTCGGCCTAAATGGCGGCACCAAAGCGTCCGCACTGAGCACGCCCCCCGAGTCACTTGTTCGAAGCAGTAGTATTGTAGAAGACTCGCAGCCTCGGCTCAACTTACAAAGACGAACCAGGCAAATACACGAAAGAGGACGCCACTACAAGGTACACCTTGGCTATCGGGCCCACTGACACTCATCATTACTACTCCCATCAGCCGAAGCCGAATTTTTCTCTTTGGCCTCGGGAGTGGGGGGGGGGCAAGTGATGTGGGGGTGACCCAACCCAGCCCATTTGTGGCTGGGAGGCCCAGCCCACGAGTGTCAGATCTGGTAACGAGATCTGCTATAGCAGAAGTTACTCTCCTCCCCTCGTATGGAGCCAATTGCGGAGCACCCACACGTCCCCGCAGGGCTCTCTGACTGCCCTCACACGGTTCTCATCCCAGGCGTTCATCTCCACCTACCTCTAGGCAGCTCAAGTATAAATAGGGGTGCCCCCCTCCAGGTAAAGGGGAGGAAATACAATCTGCATCTGGGCTTAGAACTAATCTCAAGAGTTATATTCTAACTCCCCTCTTCGTACCCCGTACTAACTTGACCGTCGGAGACTCTGCCTCGGGTTCTCACTCGGGGCCTCTGAGCCTTGTAGTACCTCAGCCACCAGAGCCCTCTCTGCCTCAGCCTACATACCTCGGCTTCGGCAACAAGCTCCCTGAACCCTCAAAGCCTTCGGCCAACTCTTCGGAGTCTGGGGGCAAAATTTCTTTGTTATCCTCGGCTATCCCGAGCATCAACAGAACCCAAGAGAAATCTTTAGCTATTTGCATGAAAATGCTTTCTTAGAACCTTAGCTTTGTTATTTTGGCAAGTTTTAGACCTAACTTGTCCTCCTATATCTATAAAAGGGACCCAAATCAAGTTAAATTGCCTCTTTATTGTTTAAGTTGTTGGGATCACATATGTTAGGGTGGTAGGGGTTTAGAATATTCTACCAGAGGGGGTCTACTTGCAACTATGTCAGAAAATTCAAGGAGGTGACTGCAATTACCAAAATTTAGGGAAGGTTTTGTAGCAACCAATAATTTTGGGGGAGGTTTAAATACTTTACCCTTGTTTAATATATAATGTTAGATTTCTAAATATCCCTAAATTTTTCCAAAATTCCTAAAACTTTTAAATCCTATAATCAAATTTTCAAAATATCCCCAAATTCTCATAATCCAATTTCTAAAATATTCTAAATTCCCGTAATCCTATTTTCAAAATATCCCCAAATATGATGTATTTTCAGGCGGTTGCTTTGGGGCGAGGAAATTTCAGGGATTCCATGCGCTTGACGTAGAGGAGGTGCCCCGCCCCGTCACCATGATGGGGCGGGGATGAGATGGGGGGTTTTGGCTTTGGGGAGGGAATGGGGAGAGGGGGTGCGGTGCCCCGACCACGCTGAACCTGTCTCGTTGCCAGTCCTAAGTAGAAGGGGTTCTATCCCAGGTCATAGGACTATCAACTTCTGCACAAGTCTGGATTGCATTGGCCAGATGTTTTGCAACCCAGTCCCGGGTTCATGTGCTTCAATTGCAGTTGCAATTACAGACATTAGAGAAAGGCTCTATGTCTGTATCTGAATATATTCAGAGAGCTTGCCCTGTGAACTGTGGCTGACATGCTAAGTGGTATATCGCTCCTGTTGCTTCAGAAGATCTGATTTTATACATCCTTTCAGTTCTAGGATCTGAGTTTGAATCCTTTGTAAGGACAGTTACAGCAGCAGTAAGGCCACAGCAATAAGTGTTGTAAGGTGAAAGAGTGATTCTATCCCATGTCTATTGGAAACACATGCAATGGCCTCACCAATAGGTTTGCAGCCTAGCTAGTTGTTGAAATACTCAAGTGCAAACCATTAAATTCCTGGTTATACATAACCCCTTCACATTATGAAGCCTTGATAACAGAAATCCACAATCAGTATTCAGTAGTACTGAATTTAGAGTTATCCCCTGATAAGATTGCATTCGGTGTCCTCCTTTTTTGGTCTACTTACAGATTAGTTTCAAGTAAAAGAATAAAATTAGTATCTATATGGTGAGTCTAGTTAGAAATTGTAAAAATCCAAGGTTAATCCACATTATTTGCAAACTTTCTTCCTATTGTAAGGAGCATTATTTCCTCATTCTTCCTATTGTAAGCTTTGGTTGAATTGTGTCATAGATGTTCATAGGACTCAAGAAGAACAGAGGACGTGGTCCCATACTACTATATATTAAACTGGTACATATATGCTAGAATTCCTAGTAGAGAATAGAAGATTCAAGTAATAATGACCATGGCTAGGAGAAGGATGCATGCTCAAGTTTATGAAATATGATTTGAGCACCATATTGTGGTTGGAGAGTTAGGACAAAGCAAGGAGCATGAGTATATGATGGTGAAAGCTCAAAAGAGAAATGTTGCAGAATCATAGCCAGAGCCATCTTTGCTTCAGTCATTGCAAAGTTCTGTCCAATGCATATCCGCGGACCCCAACCGAATGGGAAGAATGAGACTTGATTATTTGTTGCCTTTGAAACTCCTTCTGCAAACCTTTCCGGTTTGAACTCTTGGGCATCTTCACCCCAAAATTCAAGATCATGATGGAGGAGGAGTATTGGCATTTCTAGGTGCACTCCAGGTGGTAGAGAGATTTCCCCTAGTTTTGTATTCTTGTAAGTAGACCTACCAATCGTTACTGTTGGTGGGTATAGTCTGAGAACTTCATACAGAATCATGGTAACCTGCAATTGATGTTCAGGAGCTTTGCAAATGTTGGTATCAAATCTTATAATTAGATTCTGTATGTCCAGTATAGGTAGAACCACCACAGGTAATGAAGTAATGCACTTACAATCTTAAGGTGGCTTAACCCGCCATAGCTCGGTATGTCGTTACCGAAGAATTTCAACACCTCCTCCCTTGCGCGTGTTTGCCAGTCCATATGCATGCTCAATACAACCATGGTCCACACAAGCAAATTAGATGTTGTCTCTTGTCCTGCAAAATAAAATAGCTTGCACTCCTCTATTACTTCTTTAATAGTCATTCCTGCATTCTTCTTGCTGCCATGTTCTTGGATATAGTTTTTATTAGAGTCTATTAGCAAGCTCAATAAGTCACTGCTACTTACTTCTCCAACACTTGGAGTTGCTTCTTTCTTATTTATGATACCTGTCAGAACAGTCTGTATTTCTTTTTCAATTTCCTTCATCCTGTTGTTCTTTTTTGTAGGTAGGAACCTGTAGACAGATAATGCTTATTGAAAGTGAAGAAGCAGAAGCTCTATGATATATATATATATATATATATATATATAACATGGATCTCATATTTATGATGCTTATAATATAATTTTGGAATTTCTACTATCACTACTAATTAATGTTTCTGTAGGAAGGCAGACAAAAAAGATATAGTTGAATCAGGAATCAGATTGAAGGATCTATAGAACATATAGCATGGTTCTTGGTCACAAACACTGAAAGCAGTGAAAGTTGATCTTTTGTGCACATAATAATCTGCAATATGCATACTCAAATAGATATAATATTCACTTGCCTAAATTTGGTGTAAGATAACATTGGATTGATTCACAATTGAACAAATTAAGTTAATGTTTAACAAACATAAAATTCAGTTACAACTCTATGTAAGCAATATTCTTAGTTGTACCTAAAACCCGGGATGTATACAGACTGAAGAACCTGCAGAGTGAGCTTAGATAGTTCATTTTGGAGTTGGAATATCTTCTGCCCTTCTTCATAGCCACTACCGAATAATGCTCGAGAGATGACATCTGTTGTTACGTTCTGGATTTCAGGCCATATATCCAATTCACAAGACCCTTTTGGTGTAGTCAATTTGTTCCATCGGCTAACCAACTCAGCGAAACTTGCATAAAATGCAGGTAGCATAAGCTGTTACAACATCAAAGAAGAAGCCATTCCAATATCAATAACATGTAAAGCATGAAAAGTAGTATTGTGTTAGGTAGCTTGACAACCTGGAGGTGTTAAAGTGAAGCAATTTATGGCTCTTTAATTTGCTCTTTAACACAGTATTCCCTTAGTGTTTTGCAGGAATTACAAAGTGACATTTGCTCATGTCTACAAGGAGATTTATTAGATGTCAGATCCTCTTGCCAATCACTATTGTGATAATTGTTAAATTTGCTGCTTTGAGAAGCCATTTTCCCTGCTCAACAAGAGACAAATGGCTCATTTTACAGTATAAGGTGGATCTCCCCTCCTCAGGGTCCATTTGATCTTAGAATGTTTGTTTACTCTGATGGTTTTTGGTTTATGTTTTAAGCCTTTTGCCCCTTCTTATTCTCAGCATTCAAGCAGAATCTCCTCTCTACCCATATTTGGTTTATTTCTTTTACTTTTTAGTAAATGTTTGGCATTGGGGCTGAAATGGCTGAACTGACTGATTTATTGTTAGGGTATAGTAATTAACCCAACTTCAGCTTCAGCCATTATGGGTCTCACAACCTCTTTAATAACTTACTAACTGAAAGAAAAATCAAGAAGTCATTCAATTCGGCTAATCCAGCTGTTATCAAACGGTCTAGTGTTTGCTAGGTAGGTTGGGACTTCTGGTCTGTCCATTGGGGTCTAGAGTGAGTTCACATTGGTGCCCCACATGCACATCTCAGCGTGCATTGGGAACATCTCCCGTAGTTATCATTGGGAGATGTGCAGATGAGAATTCAGCTAGAGTCTGTATGGAGGACCAGGAATTTGGCTGACATGGAGTTCAGTATAGTATTTAGAAAAGGAAGGAAAAAGTGAAGGTTTAACAACACATATCTAATCAATAAATGGACTAACCTTCAACTTCTCTTGATGGAAAGCAGGACTGATAATTCTTCTGTGTTTGGCCCATTGGTCATCCTCATAGCTCAGAAGCCCAGTCACTAACAATCTGACGAGTGGATTTAGTTTAGGCATCTGAAACTGGCCAAACTTGTTAGACAAAATATCCCTTATGAGAGTGGGGTCCAAGATGTTTACTCTAGGAGATGTTCCAATCCAACAAAGAGATGTCCTACCTGCACTTCTAGATTTCTAAGTAAGATTATTGATAGAAATAGATCGAGTGGTGCAGTAAGAGTTCATTAACTAAGTTAATTGATGGAAATTAATCAGAATTGTGTGCACTAGAACAATTAAATAAATTAGGCCATCTAGGGAGATGTTTATCCCAATAAAGTTTCCTAAAGCCAAAACATTGCCTAATCAGATTAGATTAGCTATTGTAGAAGACATTGTTGGCTGTTTGACCCCTCGTTTAGTTGTATATTTCTCAAGTTGTTACAAAAACAAAAGGCTCTGTTTGGATAATCTTTTGCTTTTAAGCTTTGGGTTCTGAAAAAAAATTGATTCAAAAAGTGTTTGGATCATTAGGTATCAGTTGTTTTAAAAATATTATAACCTGAAGCCAAAACACTTTTAAGCCCTGAATCACAAAGCCTAAAATTTGGGCTTTGTATTTTGAGATTTGAAAGCACAAATCCTAAAAGTTGTCCAAATGCGACCTTATTGTCTTAAATACCATAATTCAGAAGTAGAGAAGCTTATTACTATTCTACTAATGAAAGAAAAACAGACAAAGGTAATTTTTTTTTATCTTTGTAGGTTAGAAGAAAGGTTACCAAATGATGGCAACATGATGTACAACTCCTTCAAAACCAAAGAAGAAAAGTTTATTTGCCTTTTATTCTTTTTTTTTTTTTTTTTGAGAAGATATGATCTTAGAAGCTAATGACTACTTTGAATGATCAAATATACAAGAAATATATAGAAGTTTTATGGTTAGCATTTAGAGTAAGGGGTTTCAAGTATATGTAGAAAAGTTGTAGACCTGTGCCCATAGTAGTTCACCTAGAGGGTTAATTCAATTCACTTCGATTCTTTGCTTTTATTTCTCCCGTTTTCAAGTGCTCTTATTTAATTAAAATTTTACGAAGTTGTTGAGAGAACCCGAGTCTCTACCATTTTATTAAGAAAAAAAAGAAACACTGAATTATGGTAGCAGCAAAAAAAAAGAAACACTGAATTAGGCTAGTTGGTAAAGTATATGGCTAGTTGTAATGGAGACTTGAGACTGAATCCCACCTGCAATGGTAGTTGTAATTACTTTCCATGAACTTTCTGATACAGTTGAAAGTAGACCCCCTTTGTTAAATCCACTAACAAGAAGTACAAAAATGTCTAAAATACCAATGCAATTACTTGAGGTTTGTTTCTATGGAAAAAAAAAACAATATAAACTTTATAAGCAATAAAAAAAAGAGAATTTAAAGTTGCAACTTTACCTTTTAGCGAGTGATATGAAGGGAAAATTTGAAAAATAAATCAATTTCAGAAAAGTGATTAGAAGGGTTTGGGCTAGTGATTCATATGAAGAAAAAATTCGGAAAATAAATATTTTGGTCAAAAGTAATTGCATGGGTATTTTGGATATTTTTTACGGTTCTTTTTTAGAAGATTCTAACAAGGAGGTCTACTTTTAACTATATATGTCAGAAAGTTCAGGGGAGATGATTGCAATTATGAAACTTCAGCAGCAACAACTAGAAACTTTAGGGGTGGTTTCAACATTTTACCCAAAAAAAAGGAAAAAAGAAGGGATGCTTGAGATAATTGCTTTGAGGAATAAAACAAGAAGGAATACAAATCAATCTCATTACTAGTGGTGGCAATTGGGCGGGTTGGGTTGGGTTTGGTTTGGGTTGAGTTTCAACCCAACCCATTTAACCCGCCAACCCGTTAATGACCCAATTATGTAAAATTAAATGGGTTGGGTTCAACCCAAACCCGCTTTAACCAAATCCAACCCACCCAAACCCATTAATCTTATATTTATGTAGTTAAAACCAAAAACTAACTCTATCCTAATAAATAAGTTGGTTATAACTTAATGGTAATAGTAGTTGTTATTTACACAAGTGGTGAAGGTTCAAAGCACATTACATGCATTATTTTTACACAAGCAGCAAAGCCATTTAACTATGTTTGGGCTTCGGATTTGACGAACCACTTAGGTTCAAACCGGTCAGATCAACTTGAACTATCTAATTGGATTGTCTTTGAGCTAATGACAACAAGAGTGGTTGAACTGTTTAGATCTGGACTAGTCCGGCCGGACCAGGTCCCGACTGAACCGGTTCGGATCGATCAGACCAAACCCGAACAGATTGAATTCAGTCCGGTCGGGACCACACCCAACGGGTCGGTTCATCTCGATCGGGCCAGACCTTGGTTGGACCGGTTCACTTCGGTTGGACCGAACCGAGCCAAATTCAGGGCAGTCCCAGGCCAGAGGCTCTAAAGGATCTAGGTCAACTAGCATTGTTGACTCGGGCCGGATTCGGGTTGGGTTGTATGGATACGAGCCGAACCGATGATTCGAACCAGGCAAAGCAAGTGGGGTGGTTTAGTGTCTGGACTTCACCCGGTCTGACCCGCTTCGGATTTGGGTCGACCCGGATCAGCTTGTGTCAGGTCGGACCATTTAAATGGATGGGTTGATCACACAACCCGCCAAGTAAATAGGCGGGTTGGGCGTGTTAGATTTTGGGCGGGTTTAACAGGTTGGGTGAAAAATTGCCACCCCTACTTATTATTAGAGGAAATTTATGTTGGGTGAAGTGTGTTGATTCAAGACAAAACTAAATTTAGTCAACAATTAATAGAAAATTAATGCATTAATTATAAATTATTTAATTCAAATGAAGAAAATAAAAAAAAGACTAAGAAATTAATACTTATATTTGTAATGATTAACCCAACAGTTATCCCCAACCCAACCCATTTAAATGGATGGATTGGGTGATGGGTTGATCACACAACCCGCCAAATAAATAGGCGGGCTGGGCGGGTTCAACGGGTTGGGTGAAAAATTGCCACCCCTACTCATTAATAGAGGAAATTTATCAAAGACTATGTTATTTGGATATTTGGCATTTATACACTTATGGAATTACACAAGGGGGTAACCCGTGCTGGCTACAAGATCTTACAGCCCCATATCGAAAACATATTTTGTACTTTTCGGGGAGTTTTGACTTTTGATCAAGCAATTTTGTGCCTGTAGTGTCTTGTGCAGAGGATGTGCTCAGCAGATCCAAACTCCCCATAACTCCCAACCCTGGTAACAATAGGATTTGATCCTAAGACTCCGTTTCCCTTTTGGCTGAGTAAGTATTTCTCCAGAAACACTTATCCCCTTACATAATGTGAAAAAGAACTTAATCAATAGGAATCACAATTTTATTGACCAACTTTCCTCTCTCTCAAAATCCCCCCCCAAAAAAAAACAAATGATCCTAAATATCTATCTAAGAGATAAAAAGATTCTTTCAATAATGTTCACACAAAAGAATTAAGAGATTTTTGGACTACAATCCCCTTCATAAGTCTGATTTACAGCCCCCCCCCCCCTTCTACTCTACTAATAACCTCCTAAAAACTGCATCCTGCTAGTAAATTTGACATCAATCCATGGTCTGGATTGAGTCCACCCTTAAAATGGAGCTCTAGTTTTGTAGAGATGGACTGAACGGTAAAAACCCCCAAGAATTAATTGAGGTTTGGTCAAGAGAATTTATGCCCAATCCCACACATTCTGACACAGCATTCGAAAAATTAACAGCAGATTCAGACTCTAGTGTTGCACACACAACCAGATCAGAAGTCAGAGCATTGTAAAGTGCAACACTACTTCCCATGAAAAATAAGCAATCAGATGATGGAACTTTGTAGTAAATATATTACCGTAGTCCTTGAAAGTTTGATGGATGAAGGGGAGAACACGTGGCGCAATATCGTGAGAGAGGTTCGTAGGCTTGGATTGGACTTCCTTCATCATCCTTGATTCCTCTCTGAGAGTTCCATACAACAATCCGTAGGAGTGACCCTTAATTCCCTGCTCCCTCAAAAATCTTTCCAACTTCTTGGGTTTCAGCCATACCCAATTTAAGAACCTCCACGCCCACAACAAAATCAAACCAAAAATCAAAAAAGCTGAAGAAATGAAGAAGTATTCTCCGATCATGTTCATAGGCAAGCAGAGAAACCCAGTTGTTCAGTGGGAGATCTGAAACTCTCCTTCATTTTTCTAACATTTTCTTACACGTGTCGATATACTTCTAGAAGGTGATAATCAAAAATGGAAAAAGTAAATCAAAATCAATGAAAACAAATAAAAAATCCTTGTTATGATTGTTTTTTTTTAATCTTTTAGGTATGTCCTTGGAGAAATACATAATCAATTTTTGGTAGTTGGGAAGTTGGCTTAAAAGCCTTGGTGTAATTTTTTTAAAATGTCTTTTGACTTTTAGGTTTGCATCTACACAGGCTTTAGACAAGATCATGTAATCGTCAACAAATTGCAATAATGGAGCTTCAATAAAAGCATGGAAATATAAGGAAATAAGGCTATGTTTGGTTTGAAGCAAAAAGTTTCCCTTATTTTTCCTTCCTTTCCCTATTTTTTCCTTTAAACCAAACATAGCCTAAAGGATCACCTTGCATTATTCCACTTGAGAGGAGGAATCTTATCCTTGGGATGCATTGAGTAAGATTTGGTAGTTTGTAGAAGACACACACTCCTCTATACTAATCCATTTTCAAGACTAGCCCTGTGTTACCTTTTTTATTCTTCATTGTATGAAGGATTTCATGGGCCATTAAAACATTATCTAAAATAAGTCTTGATGAGGGTAGATTTGGCCCTCCAGTGAAATTGTGGCACCTCGTGACAACTAGGCAAACACCCAAGCAACAACTTACCAAGTTGGTGTCCCTCCCGGGCACCGGTCTGGCTGGCCTAGCACGACCTGCACGCGGCCTACAGGCGGCCTGCACGCGGCC